CCACCCGGTCCTAAGCTGCTTTCCTGCCCGAGACGACGGCGGTCACCCCCGGCGACCCGACGCAACTTCCTCCGCCTCTCTGAGCCTCAGTCCCTTATCTGCTAGGCAGACATAACCATGCTGCCCGTTCCAGAGCGTGGCTGGGATGACTCCAGAAGTGTGCCAGTGAGGTGGCTGAGCCCGTGCCTGACCCGTGTAAGCCTCCCTGAACGGTCATTTGCTGTGGGAATGCGCACAGCCACAGTCAGGACCAGGCTGGGGTACTGTCCATGTTGCGCCTCATTTAATGCAATAATTTGTCAGATCCTTACGCTAGTCCTGCACTACGCACAAGAAACCAAGACTCAGCACAGTTAAGTGATTTACTCGAGGTTACGCAGCCAGGAGGTGGCAGAGCTGGGATTTGAATCGAGGCGAGGCAGGAACCAGGACTCACACTGCCCAATTCCAGGAACCACTAGACCCCCTTCCGATGCCCCTGTTATCTGGACTCACTGTTCTGCAGGGACTGTTCATCTCGTGCCCTGATGGTTTCAGTGCGGGAACTATTCCTTACATTGAAGTCAAAAGGTGCCTCAGGGAAGTGATTGCACACACCCAGATAGGGTCCTCAGCCCAGGGCTGACAGATACGTCCCCCAGGTCTTTTAAAAGTTTGCCCTCTATCTCCCAGCCTAGATTCTGGGTATCTGTCTCTTTTTCTCCACATCCCCCTTGTGAGCCATTGACCTCTTACCCCACTACCGTCCACCTCAGGACAGGGATCCACACCTCCATGCCTCTTCCACACTGCATAGCCAGGCACTTCACTACTCTCTGGAACCAGCCCAGAGTTCCCTTTCTGTTCCTTCGGAATCACCGGATTTCTCCCTCTTTCCTACCCCACCCACACATCTATGAACCCCAAGTACTACCTGTTCCCAGCTTCTGGAGCACACCCTCTACCCAGTCCTAATCCCGGCTGTCTACTCTGGTCAAACCCCTACTCTTGAGTCTCTCTTCTTTGGCTCTATGCAATTCCCAGAGCAGGTTTTTCTTTTTTTGAGTTGGAGTCTCCACCCAGACTGGAGTTCAGTGGCCGCTCCTGGCCACCGCAGCCTCGACCTGCTGGGCTCTGGCGATCCTTCCGCCTCAGCCTTCCAAGTAGCCGGAATTACAGGCATGCGCTACCACACCCGGCTGATTTCTTGATTTATTGTAGAGATGAGGTCTCGCCAAGTTGCCCAGGCGTGTCTCGAACCCGCGGGCTCAGGCAATCTACTCACCTCAGCCTCCCAAAAGCATGGGATTACAGGCTGAGCCACTGAGCCCGGCTCAGAGCAGTTTTTAAAAGTCACTGCTCCCCTTAAGGAGGCCCTTCCTGCTTACCCACCCAAGCCCCACCTCCTGGGCAGAAGCCCAGGGCCCTGTCCTGGGTCTCTCTGGCCCCAACCTGCCTGATCAGGCCCAGTACCACTGCTCCCCACAGTCCACCCTGCTCCAGGCACCTCACTCACCAGCCACGTTCTTAAGTACCTCTGTTGGAACTGCTTGAGTTGTTTCCGTGATTGGAATGCTTTTCTTACTCCCTCTCCTCTTCCTACCACCCATTAAGGAGCCCTATTACTGTGGTTACTGTGTGTGTGTGTTTGTGATGGGGTCTCACTCCATCGCCCAGGCTGGAGTGCAGTGGCGCAATCAAGGCTCACTGCAGCTTTGAGCACCTGGGTTCAAGCTATCCTCCTGCCTCAGTCTCCCGAGCACCTGAGACTACAGGACATGAGCCACCACACTTGGCTGTGGTCACTGTTGATGATAATGGCTACACCTAGTGAGGACCAGCTCCGTTAGGTACAAGGCAGATTTGTGCAGATTATCTCAGGTGGCCTCACCAGAAACATGCCATTGTAGGTACTGCTCCCCCTGTTCGACAACTGAGGGAACAAGGTTCGGAGGTGATCAGCTTGCCCCAGATCACACAGGGGGTGGAGCTGGGCTTGCAAAGGTTGGGCCCGGAAAACCTGGCTGCTTCCCAGAGCCTGCAGTCAGCCTGGATCTCTCTGCCCTGGTGGGGTGGGCGTGCTTAGCACTTTCCACAGGCTGCTGTGAGCTTCTATGGTGTGTCTCTGTGGCTGGAGCGCCTCAGGAGCAGGAACCAGGTAGGCCATCTCTGGATCCCCAGGCAGGCCAGCCCAGCACAGGAACTGGCGGGGAGTGGGCAGAGTTGAGGGCAAGAGAACACCTGCTCCTCTCCCGGGCCTGGAGTTCCGAGTACTGTGCACCTTCTCTGCTCTCCTGATCCACAGGCCCTACTTGCCGAGGGCCACTCAAGGCTGGGCAAGGTGGAGGCTGGCCTGTAACTCTTGGCTTGGAGTCAGGGAAGAAGGGGAGTTTCCTGGTTCTTCCTGCACCCAGTGCTTAGGAACCCAACACTGCCTTGAACTGTAGGCTACGGCTGCTACTGCCAGGGCGCTGTGATCATTCTTGGCTCATGTTCAACCTGCACTGGTCAGTCTCCTTGAAGACAGCCTCTCTTTCCGCCCTGCAATCTACTGGATCTTGGTGTCTTTCTGCTCCTGTTAGGACCTGTAGCTTCTAGCATATAGCCTGATTTTCTGGAACAGCCCATGTTTGTTCCTGATATTCTAGTACAGTATTAATAATGTTCTCTTCTATTCTGAAAAGTGTCCCAGTAGAACAATTAAATTAGACGGTCACTCCACACTAGGGTTCACTGGGCTAGCCCCAATCCCAGTCTGTCATTAACATGCTAATGGCCCTGAGCAGACCACCTGACCTTTCTGGGACCTTGTTTTTCCATCTGAAAAATGGAGATGAAACTCTTTGAACTGTCTCTGATGTGCTCTCTCCCTTGGGGCCATGGTGCCAGCCTCTGGCCAAGGTGAGGGCATAGGTCATGGGTTAAGAACTGACCTCTCGCTGTGTGGAGAGTCACGCAAGGAGTCTATGGAGTCGTGGTAGGGCGGCACGGTGGTCCTGCGCTGCTCCTCCAGGTTGTAGGCTGCCGCTCGCCGTGCCCGGGCCTCTACACACGCTGGGCTGTTGCATTTGCTGGTGCCCACTGATGACAGCATGATGCCTGACTGGGAGTCGGAGGTCAGGCTCTCAGAACGTTCCAGGCTCCACGTGTGGCTCTCGTGTCTGGGAAGGCCAGATGGGGCAAGATGAGGGATCAGGAAGGGGCAGGGAGGCTTGGGAGGTGTGGTCCCACAGCCACCCTCTCCCTGGTCCTCATTCCATCTGGAGTTCCCTCAGCTCCTTGCCCTTCTCCAGCTTGGGCTGATGTGGATTGCTGCAAATGCGTATCCACGGGACCCCAGTCCCAGTATCAGGAGAAGGAGGGCTGGGGGTCCTGTGGATGGGTGAGTTGTAATGTGCAACCACTCTACCCCAGTCTTGCCTTGGAGCCCGTGTCTGGGACCCTTCCACTCCCATGGTCCTTAGCCACCTATGTCAGGAGCCCAGCCTCAGTGGCCGATATGTGGGGGTCCTGACTATTACATGGTACTCCCCAGGAAAGACACATTATGTGTCTTGAGCTGTATGAGCCTTTGTGCGCTGTGGACAGGACTCCCTAATTCTGGAGAGAAGGCTAAGGGGGACTCATGGCAAACTCAGGAGAGGGAATCCAGTAGCTCTGAATATTTGAACAAGTCAGCACTTTATACCAAATAAAGTGCAGAAGTGTATGCGTCGCTGTGGGCCTTGGTAGTGCCCACCTGTGGCTGGACGTAGGTGTGGCTGTGGAACAATGGTGAGAAGGAGAACAGGAGTGGCTCCCCGAGAAGGTGGTCTCAGTTTCCCTCCTGATGACATGGTCTGTGGCTGGCACATTCTTGGAGATATACTGGAACAGACAGACAGTTGGGTGAGAGTTAGTGACGGCAGACCAAATCGATCTTCTGAAACTCCAGGTTGGGAGGAGTCCAGGGATGAGAAGTGGCTTGATAGTAGGGCAGTGATGGCCCCAGCAAATAGAATCCCTGCTCTTCCAGAAGGAAGTGGGTGAAGCAAGGCTGCCATCCCGGTGAGACAGTGCCTAGGAGGCAAGCCTGGTCATGGGACAGGCTGGCTGCTGCCCCAGTCCATCCTCGCAGGGGCACAAGAAGGGTGGCTGTCCCACTGAGGGCTTAGAAGGGGACCTGGGAACAGCACTCACATCTGCCATCTGGATCTCCTCTGGGTCCAGCCGCGGGTGGCTGGGCCCGTTGGCCAGGCTTCGGTTCTGGTGGGCTGGGCACATGTTCTGCCGGAGGTGGTTGTGCATCTGCTTCCGCTGTTTTCTGCACAGGGGAAGGGTGGGTGAGCCTGGCACGCCCTCTGCCTCAATGAATGAACATCCTTAGCTGTCCCTTCTCTCTGTGCCCTGGACTGCCATGGCGACTGCTTTTCCCTGTGCCCAGGCTGTACCACATCATTGCCACCACCTGAAACCATGGGACCTGAGTGTTGTGGTGATGAATTTGGGCTCTGCCCAGAGAGTAGACTCCACTGCTTTCTAGCTGTGTGGTCCTGGACAAGGTACTTAAACTCTCCATGTTGACCTTTCCTCATCTGTAAACGGGGTGACCATCCGAAAGACTGCGGATGATTGAAAGTGTGGAAAATATTCAAGCACAGTGCTCCCTCTCTCCTTCATTCTCTTGGTAGTTATTGTGTTTTTACTATGTGCCAGATAATGTTTTGGAGAAGATGGAGAGGATCCCTGCCCTCGAGGAGCCCACAGGCCAGTAGACAAGGCAGACAATAAGCAATAAACAAAACAATGAATGAGATATTTTCAGTAAAGTTCTAGGAAGAAAATAAAACGGGGGCTGTGGAGTCAGGGCCCGTGGGATTACTTTATGTTGGCACACTGTAAATGCTCAATCAATTTATTTTATAACAGACCTAATCATGTCACTCCTCTGTTTAAAACCCTTTATTGGCCCTTTGTGTTTCCCTTGCCTGCCCTGCCCCTACCCTGCCCCAGCTTGCTGTGTCCTTGGTGAGATTGCTTCTGGTCCTCCACAGTGCCTGCCCTCTCTGGCCTCCTGACCTTTGCGCATACTAGCTAGTTCGTTCACCTGGAATATGTTCTCTCCTCTTCACCTGCTAACTCCTACTCACCCCTCAGGCCCCAGCCTAAATGTTGCTTCCTCAAGGGAACCCCTCCTGCTCTCCAGCCGAGGTTAGTTGAGGTTAGTTGTCTCTAAATGTGTTCTGTGACACTGGGATGCCTGCTCAGAGTACTGGCCATGTGCCTGGGGCAGGGCCTGGCGTCCCGCAGGCACTGAATGAATGTTGAAGATATGAGTAAATGCCGTGGGGGTAAGAACAGGGGCCTTGATTTTCCTCCAGTTCTTAGACTTGACTTTCCCTCTTTGGCCTGTTCTCCCCCTCTGGGCTCTTTGAGTCCCAACTCTCTCCTCCCTCCAGCTTTTCTGGTACTTAACTCCCCCAGGACAAGGCAAGCAGGGCTTTAGGTCCCATAGATAGGGTAGCATGAGTCCAAACCAGGGGCTCAGTCCCCAAAATGGTGGCTGTGCCCAGACTCTTGCTCTCCAGATGTGAACAATTGTGACAAACCTATCATTTTTCTGCAAGTTGACTCCCCACTGTCTGCAGGATAAGCCCAGGCTCCCCGGCTTGATCCAAGGCCTGTCGTGCCATCTAGGTCCCAATACTCTTTTTAGACTTGTGCCCTTTTTTTCCTGACCCCAGCCCTTTGCTCCAACTGGTCTGGGCTGTTCTTGTTTCAGGAACATGGCCGGCCCTCACCTGTGTTGTCCTCTGGCTCCCACTCTTCTACTTGTACTGCCCAGCTCCCTCTCTGTCCCTGTCTTCCCCTGCCCTGAGATTCTGTCCCTACCTCTCTTCCGCCCAGAGGGGGCCCAGTCCCACCTTCTCTGGCCTTTTGTCTAAGCTGCTCCCAATTGGGCTCAGGCAATGCCTTTCCCTGGGAATGGAGCCTGCCGCTCTACACTCCCCTCCTCAGCACCGCCCAGCGCCTGCCCACTCCACAGGGCACTCGCCCCAGGAACCTGCGGACCAGCTGCATGCCCCTGCTCAGGGTCCTCCCGAAGTCCTGTGAGATATATACCAGGATCCTTCCCACGAGGACTCCGCAGTTCCTCAATTAGCTCGGGGTCACGTGAGAATTGACAGAGCTGGATTTGAATCTAGATTTGTCTTCTTCCAAAGCCTGTGCTCAGGACCATTCTTGGTCAATCCCGTGGGGCCCGTCTCCCTCATACTTCCCTGCTGCTGCTTCCTGGCCCAGCCCTTTGCCCCACCCCTAGCTGCAGAGGTCCCTGAAGGGGCAGCAGGGGTACAGGAGGGTGTGGAGGAGAGCCTGCCTCACAAAAGAGGAGAGCCTGCCACACAGGCCCCTCCCTCAGTCTGGCCTATCCCCACCCGTGTGCTTGCCACTCACTTGGTCTTGCAGTAGGCTACCACACAGACGATGCCCACCACCAGTAGGGCCACGCAGATGCCAGTGATAGTCAGGACCCTCTTCTGGTACAGCTCCTCGGCTTCTGCAGAGGGAGGGTGGATGTGAGGGGCAGGCAGGAGCAGACCCAAAGTGGACAGTGGTGCAGATACGCCCTCCCCCAAAGCCTCAGGCTCCTTTCCATCCCTTCTCTCCCTAGCCAGTCCCTGCCCCCTGCAGGTTCCCCATTAGTTTCCTCCCACCCATGGGTCTGGTTACACACAATTCATCCCGAGTTCACCTTCCCAAGCCCCGTGTCTGCTCATAGCACATGAGTGGAAAATGCAGGGGGGTGGGAAGGATGGAGTGCCGGCCACAGAGCAGGGAAGGTGGTCCTGCCTGGCCATCAACATAGCCTGGGAGCTGTGAAGTGCCCTGGTGCGCCAAGGGGAGTTGTTCTTTGTGGTAGTGAACATGTGGCCCCTGGGCAAAGGCCTGGCCCAGTCACCTTGGCTTCCCTAAGAAGCTGGAGAGTAGCGTGTTCTGGGCAGGTGACAGCACATCAGACCCAGAGGCTGGACTGAGTGAGAAGGGAGACCAGGACCAGGAGCAGGGTCAGAGCAGCCCAGGCCCATGGAAGGGCTTGGAGGAGAAAAAGGGCTTTGGGTATCCCTGCAGGCAGGTCAAGGTGTGGTGCATGCCCACTCCAGCCCCTTCCTCTCTGCTTGTGAGAAGCCCCCCAGTGGCAGCACAGACAGACCCTGGCACCTAGGGTAGTGCTTGTGTACAAGGAGTGGCCCCCACACATTCTTAGGAGTTGAGCTAGGCTAGGCTCAGAGCTATCACAGAGGCCACACTCTCCTCTCTACCCTCTCCTGCTTGGGGAGAAAACCCCTACACTTGTAAACCAAAGGAAGCCAGGAGGAAGAAAAGGAAAAGGGTGACAGCACTAGCCAAAGCTAAGGCTCCGGCCCAGAGACCCCACCCTGATCCGCCCACACCTGCTGGCTGGTCCCGCCACATTAGTCCTCCTTCCAACTCAGGGATCAGGGGAGGGTGGATCCCTCTGCCTTGGCGGAGCCCTGGGACATGTCCCTAACTTATTGGGTTTGCAGCATCTCCTGGGGCAGAGGTATACACAGCAGCAAATGCCCAGGGGTACAAACCCTCCTGGCATACGTACATTGATAACTGTGCCTGTCTGACAGACCCCTTCTCTCTCTCTCTCTCTCTCTCTCTCTCTCTCTCTCTCTCTCACACACACACACACACACACGCTTATGCCTACTGACACAGTCAGGTGGGGTCTTAGACAACCAGACCTCTGCCCCAGGTCCCCATCCCTTGCCCTGTGCCCGCTGCCCTGGCTCCGGTTCTTATGCTCCATTCACATCAATCATCCAGTCCAGGCAGGCATCTGTCTCTGTCTCTCCTTGGAGACCACTCTGGTCATGGTCACCAACAACCTCCATGCTGCCAAGTCCTGTGGTCACTTGCTTCCCTCTGGGCTGACTCCTTTCTGGGCCTATTCTCCTAGGCTCCAGAGCGGTTCTCTCCTGGTCTCTTCTGGTTTCACTGACTGGCCCATGTCTGCCTCAACTACTGCTTCTTTCTCTCCTACTAGAATGGGAGGGTAGGAGGGCCTGGGGCTCCTAGGCTTCATTCTCCTCCGCACCTTTCCTCTCTCCCTTAGTGATCTCATTCAGACTCGGACTTTCAGTACCATCTATGTGCAGACTCTCATATTTCTGTGTCCTGCTCTGACTTCTCCCTGTCCTCCAGACTCCTGTACCCAAGGGCTATGACCAGAGTCACTGATTCTCCACTGTCTTTCCAAACTGCCCCTACTCCTTGCAACTCCGGAGAGCAGCCACCGCCTTTCCTGTCGCTCAGGCTCCAGACCTTGGAATCGCTCTTGATCACTCCCTTCCTTTCCATCTGCAAGTCCCCTCAGCTCTGCCTTCTGAGTAGGTCCTGGATATAACCAAGCCTTACCATTTCCACTGCTTCCAACTCAGGCCAGCAGGACACCACCTCTCACCTGGAGATGGTACCCTCTGCCAGTCCTTCTGCTGCCAATCCTCCCTACCCTGCCCCCAGCACCAGCACGACATTCATTTACAACCATAAAGCAGATTGTTTCACTGCCTTGCTTAGAAACTCACGACACCTCCCTACTGCAATTTAGATGTAACCCAGAGCCTTACCACGGTTCTGAGGTCCCAGGTTACCTGGTCCCAGCCTTCCTCTTGGGTCTCACCTGTGGTCCTCTTCCCCCATGTCCACTGTTCTCCAAAGTCACTGGCAGTCCTTCCGTCCACTGAGCAAGACAAGTCTGCTACAACCACACAGTCCCTAGATCTGCTGTGCCCCCTGCCTTCACTAGTTCTCCAGTTATTTTCAAGGCTGGCTACTTTCTGTCAAGTCTTAGCCCAGACATCACCTCCTTGGACAAGACTCCCCTAACCTCTGAGCTCCAGGAACTCCCTGCTCCAGCCAGGCACCATCATTGCATCTGTTTTCTGTATAGATTTACTGCTCCCTGACATCTTTTCTATTTGCTTGTTGTCTGCCTCACCTGTGATTGTGAGTGCCAGGAGGGCAGGGACTCTGAGTATCTGCTAAATCCTGGTGTTCTGTAGATGCTTGTTGCACTACTGAACACGCCCTCCGCACATGCAGTTCCACCTGCGCAGCGCACAACTCCTACCATAAGAACATTCCTTGGCCTTTCCATGCATTCACAGCCTGCCCCAAGGCCTCGCAACAACAGAAACACCACCAACACACACACACACACACACACACACACACACACACACACACGTGCGTGCGCCTGCAGGTTCACCCCTATGCTCAGCCACCTTCACAGACCCTCACAGACTCAGTGCCTCTTCCCCACCCTGTTACTGCCAGGACATGTAGACACACACAGTGTCTCTTACACATAGTTTGGACTCTCTCTGAGCACAGCTGAAGGGGTTGGGGGGGTGGCGGTTAGGCGTCCCCAAACTAGCCATGAGAACAACCACAGGTTCCGCACTACATCGTCGATCCTACCCACAGAAGCCTGTGTCCCCTGAACCCCTGCATCTCTCTTGCTGTAAATGTCTGGACACTTGCAGCCACTAACCCCTCAAAGTCCCTCAAAGCCCAAGGAGCCTCCTGGGACTAGAGGGTGGTAGTGGTAGGTGGCAGGGAGCACAGGTAAGATTCCCAGCTGAGGGACAAGGGGCAAGCACCAGGGGCCAGTGCAGCCCAGACCCCTGCTAGGCTTGCCCACAGATACACACGTGCCATTGCAAGGACAGGTTATGGAGGGAGTGACAGCCTCAAGCAGATGACAAAGCCTGGCTGACAGACGCAGGGCCGGGGCAGAGACAAACAGAGTCATCAGCTACAAGCCTGGTGCAGAATGAAAGTGATGGGAATGGAATGGAAACGGGGACAGGATAGAGTATGGAAGGCAAATGCACAGGGATGCCTGTCTGCACAACTCTCCAAACCAGGCTTCCATGGTGGCTGGGCAGCAGCCTCTGAGGGGTCATGTGCATACACGGGGTCATCTCTTGCCTGGATGACCTGCCGGCTGCATGCTGCTGGGGTTCTCCCCTCTGAGGCCTTCTGGTGATAGATCTCCCCTCTGCAAGGGAGCTCTACTGTACCCTGAGGGGGGGACCACAGTCTGAACCCTGGGGTGCCCTGCTGTTCATGAACTTCTTTGTCACCTCCCAAAATGACATAGTTTATGATAGGACATTTAGATGGGGCGAGGGGAGATTTTTGGAATCGTTCCTTGTCCATTTTTTGGAAAGGAAACCAAACATTCAGCACACATGGCATCACAGGTTGTGGAGAGGGCTGTGCGGATGGCACTGAGCGATACACAGAGGTCCATACCCTTTAGTTCAAATCCAAGGTGTTCTGGCAGTGCAGAAGAGAGGAGGGTCAAGTAGGGATGGGGTAGCGGGAGAGAGGCAGGTAGAGAGAGGTGGGAGGGGGCGGGGGAGAGAGAGAGACAGAAACGTTGGTCAGGATTCCTCAGACACCGGGCAGCCAGCCTGTGAGGCGAAAGCAGGTTAGTAGTGTCCCCTCCCGGCCTCCTGAGCTCCTTCCCTGGCACCCAGTCCCCAAGAGCCCCGAGAGGGGTAGAGAGAGGAAGTGTTAGAGTCAGCAGGCAGGGCAGGTTCTTTAGAGATGAGCTGTGGGGTTAGTACCTGGTGGGGAGGCAGAGGTGCAAGAGTCAGTTGGCAGATGTCCCCTGGGAGGCAAGGGTGAGGTGGGGCAGAGGGCTGAGGAGTCCCTTCTCCTCTGTCCAGCATCAGCGCCAAACCTTCGGCACCCTCAAGCCCTCCTGCAGATGGCTTGCCCAGCTCCTAGCTCACTCACGAGGGCCCTTTTCATGTTCAGAATGAGGTCCCCAGACTGGCTTCATGCCCCTGTCCTGTCCCACAGGCCTAGCTGGCCTGTCCACCTACCAGGAGCCTGGGCATGGAGGCTTGGAGTCTAGGGGAGAGCACGAGTGGGGGAGGACGGGGCTCCAGGCAGGAGGTCACTTCTCCACTTGACACCTCAACATCCCAGACACCTACAGGGCTGGGCCATGTTTCCCAAGCCTGATTTCACCACTTAGAGTAAACTGCTGCTTAGAGAAAAGAGATGAGTGGGTTTGTGTGATACTCCTGAGTTCCCAGTGTGGACAAATTACGGTCTTGGAAGTGGGATCATGTTATGAACATGTGACTTTAGGACCCTTCGAGGTAGACACCCACATTCTTGAGGGGCTAGATAAAAGGACCCTGACTCAAGGGTCAGCAGCTCTGCGCTGGCCTGCTGTGCGGCCCAACCCAGCTGTTCTCTCAGTCTCTCGTGTACAGTGGGGGATCAGGCTTGACTATGGGCTCCTGGGTGGTCTGCAAACCTGGATGAGCTTCAGAAGCATCCAGGCCAGTGGAGTCAGGCTCTTGGGTGGGATACCAGAAATCCCAGCAACAGTGTTTTCAACAAGCTCACCCACCATTCTGGTGCTGCAGCCAGCACCCACAGGCCTTGAGTCTCGGTTTCGCCCCTAGTTTGCTATGTGAATGTGGGTGAGCATAGCCTCTTTTTCCTCATTTGTCCCAAGTGCCTGTGCCCAGTCTGAGGCAGCTGTGAGCAGGTCTGGACGGTGTGAGCTCGGCGTGTGTGCAAGAGTCCCACCTGCCAGCCCAGGTTTGCTCACTCCCTGGCTTCCCCATAAGCAGTCATCTCTGCTAAATCCAGGGAGGGCATGAAATTGAGTCTGATGTTCTTGTCTGCGGCCGAGGAAGGAGTGCACGGGCCACTCGGCAGGAATCCTGTACATGATCCAAGCTTGCTCTCCTGTCTCCTTTCTGATAGGGATTCCAGAGGGTCTCACATTTGGAAAAGGAAGGAGGGCAGGGTGTCTCTGAGCCAACGCCTAAGATGGCTCTGTGGCTCTGGTGGAGAGAGCCTTGAAGAAGATCTTAGGGCTTTGACCCCCAGTTCCATGCAGAGACCACAGTAATGAAGCATGAATCCCAGACCTTCCAAACACGAGTGCTTCTTGCACGCCTGTTAAGCCCAAGGCTGGGGAGTGACCTCAAAGTTTTGGTGTATTTACCATCTCACTCTGACTGCTTGGAGGTAGGAGAAAGTTGCCATACATGCAGTCTTCCCCACTCCCCTCCAGGGTCTCCCAGGACTGGCCAGCTGTGCTGAGTAGACAGTACATTCTTGACCATTCTCAAAGGGTCCTGGAGAGAGCTCACGCTGTTTGGATGTCCAGCCATGCTCCTCTGAGAGAACAGCTCAGCTTGACCACAGCACCCACTCAGAGGACTAGGTACATAGAGCTGGTCTGGGCCTCACTTTTGGACAAGGTTGTTGTATTAGATGAGGCAGCTGGGTCCCAGTGGTGCTAGGACACTTTCCCAAGGTCACACAGCAAATTAGGAGGCAGAAGGGACTGGGGGCCAGGTCTTTGGTCCCTTGGGGCCAAGCCATGACTATTCCTGACCACTGAGTGGCAGCTCTGACTTGCTATTCCTGAGGACAATGACCATCTGGAGAAGCAGGCAGAGCTCCCAGAGCCCTTTATGAATTTTCTTCTGTGTCGCTTCTCTGAGAACCAAAGAGCAGCAGCAGCAGCTTCTGGGGTTCCTGGCTGGCCTCGTCTTTGAGTCAAAGGCCAGTACTGTCTAGGATGGACCTGTGGTGGTTGATGGATGAGGCCACAGGGCTTGGCCAGTCAGCAGGCAGGCAGCCTTCTCACTGGGAAGCATGGGATGGATTCTGAGGGGCCTGCGGCTGTGTCTCTCTCACTCATTATGTCCACTGGCCGCCACTCATCCAGGATGGGGTGACATCACTGAGCCACAGGAAGGTCCTATTGGCCAGAAATTTGCATACTGACCAGTGACCACGGCAACCCAATGCTGGACTCCCAACAGGGCCAGGCTTAACAGACAATGTGTGAAGTGTTCATCTTGGACATGTCCCATGACACAGTCATAGGATGTCTGGACAAGGAGGCAGTGATGCATGTGCTGATGTGAGCATGTACTCTTGTGTTTGCATGTGTGTGTGCAGGTGTTAGTGCGTGCTCATGGGTTTGCACATGTGGGAAGGTGTGTAAGCGCATGCTTATGTGCCGTGCGTATGTGTGTCATGTGTGTCAGTATGTGTGCTCTTTTACATGGGGGCATACAAATGGACGAGCTTGGCCTCTTAGGGAGGGAGAGGCTGTCAGCAGGAGAAGGAGAAGCTTCACAGTGCTACTGCAGCCACAGGATGTTTCCTTGGTCTCTGTAACCTGGTCTAGATGCTGCCTAGGCAGGGCACGAAGGTCAGACACTGCTCAGGATGTGCTGGGAGCAGCTTCTAGGGTGGCAGGTGCTGTCCCCCATATCAGTTTTAGCTGGCAGAAGTACTAGATTGTACTCCAACCACAGTGGCAGGCATTCTGCTAAGCCCTTCAGATGCGGTGAGTCATTTAATCCTCATGGCAACCCCACAGGCATAAATGTTATCATCCCCGTTTTACAGATGAGAAAGTTCAGAGGAGTTAAAGGAGGTCCCAGAACTAGTCTGTCGGCAATTTCATTCAGGTCTACTTAAATCCAAAGCCCGAATACTTAATCCAGCACTTTATACTACTTTTTCAGTAATTACCTGCTAGAGCAATGCATGAAGTGCTCTCTGGGAAAGTGCTTGAAGAGCCTAAGTCCTTTACAAAAAGGTAACAGTCATGATACTGAAGGCACTAGGTAGGAAGGCCCGGGGCTGCCTTTGCAGGTTCTCTTCTGGGTTCCTGGGGCCCTGCTGACCCTCCCAGCAGATCTGAGCTGAAAGCTGAAGCAGCCCAGCTGGTAGAGAGGCCTTGGGCGGTGGCCCAAGTTCTGGAGGCTCTCCTGCTCTGACTCAGGACAGGCTTGTACCCCTGTCTAGAACAGGGCCAGAAGCCCCGGAAGATCTCTGTTGAGAGGAATATAACCCCCACTGCCTCTCTCACCTGGCCCACAGCTCTGCCTGGCCTTCTTCTGAGGACTCTCCTGTCCTACAGTCCTCCACATGGGGCTGAATATGACTCTGAAACTCTTTCAGAGCCTGAGTTCTAGAGAATTCTCTTGGGCCACATGTCCTGCACACAGGCTCTGCCCTTGTCACCACGGCCTTCCTCCCTGGCCTCCAACTGGAGGGTCTGATGAGAGGACTCCCACACTCTATGACAGCTGACCACCTGGGCTGGCCAGTCTCCAGCCGCCCTGGGGCCTCTTTGGCCCTGCTGGGTTGGGGTGGGGAGTACATTTCTGGGTTTTTATGCTGTGGCTCGAGGAGGTCTGGGAAGGCTCATTTCTCCACCCTGAGACCCAAACCCTCAAAGCCCTTCTCCAAGGACTACCTAAATGGTCCCCTGGGTCCCGCCTTAGGCACCTTCCAGAGTTCTACCTCCCAGCATCCAGCCACCGTCTGGACACTCTGGTTCCTTACTCCTCACGGGACCCAGCTGTCCTCTCTGAAGAGGAGGATGTGGGGAGCGGACCAGGCAGGGGCCTAGCCTGCTCTGAGGATGGGATGAATGACCGGAGGCAGGTCTTGCCGGCCAACACACCACTGGGCCGCAAAAGGAATCTATGGCTGGCCAGTGGCTGTTTGCTCTGCTCTACCTCCACCTGGTGGTACTTGTGGGAACTGCTCCCAGGCTCCCAGTGAAAACACTTCTCGCCACCCTTAGGTCTCAGGGCACTCCTCCCCCCACCCAAACTGTGTAAACCAAAAAGCTCTGACCTCAGAAGTGGAAGGAAGGAAGGGAATGAAATCCTAGACGGGGCCTCAGACAAGAGAGCTCCTGGAGAGAGCCACTGATTGTTCCTTGTTCCTCATTCCCTCTATCTTTTAACATCTGCAGCACCCCCACCCCGCCCCATACTGTAGCCAGGTAAAGGTCTCTGAAGTCATGGAAACCGTTGCCCTGGGTCTCCTTTGACTCCCCTTCCTTCCTCCCCCTCCTCCTCCACCATCCCCACCCCTGTCCCCATTTCCAAACCCCAAACCAAACGATCTCTGGCCAGAATGGAAGACAGGCTTTCTGAGAACCCCTCTCTCTCTCAAATGCACCAGCACACACATGCACACACTCACTGCCCGGCCCCCCACACCCTCCAACAGCTTTCGGAGGCAGGTGAGAGCTGTGCAAATGCTTCTTCCCCTTCTGGCCAGGCCGCCTGACCCCAGAAGTAGGGAGAAGGCCTGATGCTACAGAGAGAACTCAGCATTCCTGTGCCCAGGAGGTACAGCTGATGTATGAAGGTGGGGGTACCGGGGGGTGTCTCGGTCTCCTTTGTACAGGCTTCTGGTGAGCACTGCGGACTGAGAGGAGCCCAGGATACCCTCCTACTGCCCCCCGCCCCAGTCTTGCTAAGCAAGGCCCCATCCCTCCCGCAGGGGGAGACTCAGTCACCAGGGAAGAGAAGAAATAGAAGAAAGAGACATACTGGAGAAGTTGACCATTGCGAACTGCTGACACCTGTCCCCGGTGTATCCCACAGGACACCTACCAAAAGAAAGAAAACCAGAAAGAGAGAGCCAGGATAGCAAGACACAGGCATTGCAACACCCCGGCACGGGCTCCTGCCGATGCCAGCTGGGTTCCTTGCCACCGTTACCATTTGTACTGGCCTTGCCACTTTGCCCCTTACCTGCAGCCCTGAACTTTAAACCCAAGGATTAGGCCAAAAAAGTGGAAAACAAAGCAAAACGAAACGAAACGAAACAAAAAGAACTAACAAACCGAAATACAAAAAAGGAAAGAGAAACAAAACCAAACAGCCAAAGATCAAAACAACCAACACCCCTGGCCCTATGCCCTACATTGGGGGGACTGCACCCGGAAGCTTTCTAAGGGGCAGGGACTTGTGTTTGTATCTTCAAACATACTTTGCTTAGGATCTGGCATGTACAATCGCAAAGGCAGTTTCTCCAAACATCTCTGTCCGAAGAATCCGTTTGGACATCTGGAGAAGGAAAAGGGGAAAAATCACAGAACAAACTGGCATCACCCGCGAGGCTAAGGCTAGAAATCAAAGTGCACATGATGAATGAGAAAACCAAGCCAGGCCCTTGGGGTCACACTTGTCGCTGAAGGGACTGGAGTCGGGGCTGGGTGCAGGGCTCCGAAGTCGCCTTAAAAATCCGCCTAGCAGATGTGGCCCCACGGGTGGGGGGGAAGGTGGGGCGGGGCAGGGAGGAGGATGATTCAGGGAAGCGGGGCGGGGGAAGATGGGAAGTTGGCGGCTAACTGTCCTACTGGCGGCTGAGACTTTCCTCCTTACCTGCCTGGTGCCCCATGAAGCCAGAACCGCAGCCCCCTGGCACCAGGCATTCGGCCAGCCGGCAGGGGGCCGGGGGCCCTAAGGGAGGCCGAGTTCTCGGGGGGCCTTGGGAGGAGTCCCAGGCCCCGCTGAAGGATTCTCTCCTGGGCCCTGGGCAGGTTTTCTCATTCAGGAAACTGCCCCCGGAAAACTCAAAGGAGAATTCGGGAATGCTGTTCCTTCAGATTGTGAGTCTACGACAAAAGCGACCTAGGGAATGTCTTGTCTCTTCTCTCAAAGCGGGTTCTGTGGCCGAATAAGGTTAGGAAATGCATTCCCAGCTCCTTATACAGTTGTGGTGTACATTGGCATATGAAAGCCTTTGAGATGTTTTTATAGAAGGAAATAGCCGGACTTTTCCAGCATGTCCCAGATTTATTTGGCTATGGATGTTGTTTCTTGAAGGACCCTTGGAGAACAAGGTTTGGGGAAGGCTGTCCTAGAGCAATATGTGTGGGAAAAGCTTTGTAGGGAAAAGGGAACTGGAGAGGAGGAGCTAGAGTTGCCAGCACCCCAGAGCCGCTTTCCTGATACCAGGTGCAGGGGGGAGTCTGGCCTCATGGAGGTTGGAGCAGGCTCACTGGGGCGTCCTACAAGCCTGCCCTGCATCAGGGGCTTACTGGCAGCCAGTCTGGGAATCGCTGCCTTCTCCCTATGACCCGCTTCTCTGTCACTGCCTGGTCCTGTCTTGGCTCTCACGTTCCCAAAACACCACCCACCCCTGACCTTGTCCCTTCCCCCAAGGTACACTTCCTTCTGCTCCTTGGCTGCTACCCGTCTTCTCCACCTTGCAGATTTCCGAGAGACATGCCCAGCCCTGTACTCTCTCTGAACCCCAGCAAGGCCAGATACCTAAGGAGAAGCTTATGGACTGAGCTAGCCCCCTTCCCCACATCTCCCTACTCAGAGATGGGTCTATGTTGCAGCTACCTTGCCTTCCTTAGGAAATTAGATAAGCTCATCACCAGTGTTCCTCTCAATACTGGCAGTGTTCCTCTCAATACTTTGGCATTAATCAATGTAATCTTCCTCAAGAGGTAAGTGTGCTCTACCTCGTAGCATTCCATTATATCCCAGCCATCAGGAAGCTACTTGAGCCTACAGCGGGTGGTGGCCAGCGGCTGTGAGAGGTACTCATGAAAACCTCATGGCCTCAAATCTAGAGGAGTGCGGAATGAGAGTGGTAGGTGGGTAGAGAGCTAGAGTTTCTCTGGGCCTGGATAGCATCTCTGCTGAGGAGGCAGGAAGTTGGTCGCTGTCATGGTGGGAGTGTGTGTGCAGGTATGTCTGGCTGATGAGGGGTGGCGGAGGGCTGGGAAGTATATCAGGAAAGTGTTGGGGTGGGGGCGGACACGTTCCTCCAGCTGAACAAGGTGGCTTGGAGGAGGAGGCTGCCATCAGTGCCTTGCTGATCCGTCCTTCTCTAACCCCTGTCCTCATCCTAATCCTCCCAGCCCAGGAGAATGGAGGTGGCGGCTTAGGCTTTCCAACCGCCTCCAACCAGGCTCACCTCTTCTGCCTCAGCTCTTGGAAACTGATGTCCACTTGGGAGGGGGACCAGAGGGGAGGAGTGATTTATCAAATGGAAGTGCCTTTAGGGGTGGAGGATGAAGACCCAGGGAGCTGCTAATATGACTCTTGGAATCCACAGAGGAACAAGAAAGAGATAGATTTGTCTGTGTCCAATGTCTGAGATTAGCCCAGCTCTTGGAGGCAAGAAAACTTGTGTATGAATGTGTGTGTGTGTGTGTGTGTGTGTGTGTGTGTGTGTGTGTGTGTGTAAGGGAGAGAATAGGGTAGTGTGGGTGCAGGAAGGGCAAAGGGGAAATGTGTTCCCATTGTTGACAAGCAGGGCTGCTGTCCCAAGACTCTTGGAGATGGGTGATAGCAAAATACATCCTGTGTGCCTGGTCCTACACCCAGCCTGGACTACTCTGCATCTTCGGATCTTTCATGGCCACAGAGTTGCACAACTCTAGGTGGCATTGTGAATATGGTCTGCATCACAAATGTGTCCCTGGAGTTATGCAACATTATGGTCCTAACCCTTCTGCCTTGAGAACTTGTGCTCCCCTGGCTGAACAAGAGAAAAGGCCATTGGGGGATGGGCATGGGGGGGGCACTAGCTCCTTCGGGGAGTTCCTGGACACTCCTGTTTCACTCCTGTTTGATGAGGATCAGCCACATGGAGGAAGCTGGGACTCTGTGAGAGAAGGCGTCGGGGGTGAGCTGGGCCGATAGCCTCTCTCACCTGCACCGGAGACCAGGATAAGAGAGTACAGGGTCCATTCGCCTGTCAACCAGGACGGGAGTCTGAACTCAGCACGGGCGGCTGGCTGGCTGGCGGTTGGTGGTTCCCACTCAAACAGGGATTGGCCCTCTGAGTTTTGGGGCACAGAGGACAGCTTAGGAGGAGCAGCAGGTAACAGCCTTCCCAGCCCTTCCCGCCAAGTCAGTAGCTATGACTCCGGAAGGGTCTGTCCCCAGGGCTGGAGAAGAGCAGGGTGAGAATGGGGCAGAGAGGAGAGCCCACGGGCTGTTCCTGGCCTCTGCCTTCCCCTTCCCCATCCCACCCCACCTCCTGGGCCTCGGTTTCTCCTTTTGGTAGCCTGGGGATAATGCCATGTGTGCTGCCCTCACCCGGGGGAGGGGAAGGATGGAGGATGAGAGTGTGCCCCGGGCACTGGAGAGAGTGAAGAGCCTCTGAGTCCATGATGTGGTGAGAATGAGCAGGTAGATGGGGGTGGGATGGGGAACTGCCTGGACATGACAGGGGCGGGGTGGGGAGGGATGAGCTGATGGGAAAGGAGGCATGCCACTGGTATGTGCACAGGGCTGGAAAGAGAGTCTTGTTCTGTCATCATCCCCTGAACCAGTCCCCAAGAGTCACGCATCAACCGTGCTCGACAAACACACGGAGAGAAGAGGAGAAAGCAGCGAGAGGGAGTGCAGAGGCCCCGTCTGGCACAGACAGGGGACTGTCACCTTGATTTTGACTCCCATTTTCAATTCCCCCTATGTTTTCTTTTTGTGAAACAAATTCAGTATCAGTGACACTGTTTCTTTTGGCACTGAATTCCAGAAAAACAGGAGGGACGGAGTGTGTCTGCTTTCCAACACTCCCTGCAGGGCTCTGAACCAATACACAACAACAAGTGTAAGAAAACCAGGAAGGAAAACTGATTTTTATAGAAACTGGAATGAAACTGACCAGCGTAGTTTCATTATCCAAGCTAAGCGGAAATGCAAAAAAATCAAAATAAAAAGTAAACAAACAGCACAAATGGTAAGACGTGAGTTCCGTTTCCTAAACTCTTTCCTTTTTATTCCATTCAGGTGTCATCAGGAACCCCAAGAGGCCTGCCCCCCTTCCCTCCCATCTCGCCCACCCCCAGAATGGCCTCTGGGATCTGCCCTGCCCCCCTCCCCCCTGCCCTTCTCCAGCACAGCTCTGAACACATCACCGCCAGGGACGTCCCTCTCCCCGGAGGGCTGAAACAGGGAGTCCGAGAAGTTGGTTCCAGGAGCCCTGGCTGTACCTCCGAGGAGCTGGGTGGGGAGGTGGTAGCTCTGGGTACCAAGGTCAAGTTCTAAGCAGTATAGCCTAGTTACTCTGGTGGGGAGGGGAAACAGGGCCCCCTCTTTACAATGGCTCAGGTTCCTGCCTCTGCTCCTCTCAGATTTAGCAGGGCAGGACTCAAGGGTCCTCGAGGTGAAACCTTGCTAGATGCCCCCCCCCAAAGCCTGTATATCTCATCATTCCCTTTTCCACACTGAACTCTCGCACTGGAGCCCTGGGCTCCCATTACCCTCCTCAACCCTGGCACCTGTCCTGGGGGATGGAAACATTCCCTGCCTAGACCCAGGGCTGACTCCAGTGACACTGCTGGATCCCTTCAAGGTTTTAGGCCCCAGGGACTAGGGAAGAGGAGAGGCCTGGTATGTGTGTTGGGGGGCAAGGGGAGGGGGATGTGGGGCTGGGTCATCCCTGTGCGGTACCCAGGACCCTTATGAGTTTCTAGTAGATCTATTCCAAAGAGCTCAGAGCATTTCCAAACCTAGAATGCTCCCAGGGTCTGAAGAACGCAGCTGCCTTCCAGAGGCAGAAGGAGGGGAAGGATGAGGGGCTGAGTCTGGGCTGAGAACTTCCTTAGAGGAGTTGTTGTTACTATTGGGACTGTCCCCTGGAATTTGGGATGGGGGGGGGAAGGAGATGGCAGCAGGTGAAGGGTGGGGCTGGGGAGGAAGCCAGCCAAGGAGGCCAGCTGGGGCAAGAGCCACAGTTCTGCCTGGAGTGCAGGCCAAGCTGCCCAGTACTGAGGTGACCATGAAGGAGGGCCCAGCCCCTGGCTGTCTTTCAAAGTCTTGGCCTCTTCACCAGGTTCACATTCCCGGGAAAGGCTATAGCAGGGAGAAGGAGGCAGATCTGAAGCGGGAGGCCAGAGGCAGGACGGCTGAGAAGTGCTGAGTCTGACCTTGGCTGTGGAAGAGGTCAGACATCTCCCTCTGAATCTCCATCAAGACCTGGGGTGGGGGCTTTGCCCAGATGCAATGGGAATGGGACTGCTTTAGCACCTTGCCAGGGCCCTAGGCTTGGGCTGCTTTGAAAAACCAAACTTGTTAACTATCCCTCCCCCCTCCTCCCAGCTCCCTCCCAAGATCTGGCCAGAGCCTGTGCTGCCCTTGCCAAGCTCCCATCCTTTGCCCACACACCCACCAGAGGATCTGTCCAGGGGGCACTGTGGGCCCCATTGTCCAGAAGATCTGGCTGGACCTGAATAAGCCCTCCCTGACTGCTTGCTCCTGCCTGCATTGTTTGCTATGGGAGTAGGTGGTTCCGAACTTCTTGAGTTCCTGCTGGGGCCACCTTGCCTGGCTGGTGAGCAGGTTCTGGCCCTTGGGGAGACAGAGAGGCCCCGACTTGAGCCTCCCCTCCACCTTGGCCTCCATCGGGTCATACCCAGAGTGGTATCCTTGCTGGTTCCCTGCCCCCATGGAGAGGGGACTGGGACTGAAGAGGTGCAGGCAGCACCCAGGGCATATGTGGACAATGGAGTCCTGCAAGGCAGGAAGAGCAGCCAGATCCTGAGGTCAGTACTGGGTCCTGGGCAGATGCTCTTCTGCTCGCAAGACTACAGGAGCAGAGGGCCCTGGAACCTATGCTCTGCCTGACCCTGCTGGGCTCCTCACTGCTGGGGAAGACATAGTCTGGGACATATTCATCAAGAACAAAGTTTGGAGAGTTGCTGAGAGATGGGAAGGGAAGTAAGGAGGGGGAGAGAGAGAGAGAGAGAGAGAGACACAGAGACAGAGAGAGAGAAAGAGAAAGAGGGAAAGAGAGAGAGAGAGAAAGAGGATGGGAGGAGGGGAGATAGAGGGAGGGGGGAGGGGGAGAGAGAAAGAGAGAGAGAGAGAGAGAGAGAGAGAGAGAGAGAGAGAGAGAGAGAGAGAGAGAGAGAGAACCCAGTGCCCAGTGCCCAAGGCATAGACTAGCATCCCCATTCCCCTAAGAGGTGTTGGTGAAAGGGTGGACATCAGGAGATGGGGCGGGTAGGGGCCTGGGAAACTGGGCCTGCAGAAGCTCCTGTATCCCTTAGAGCTTACATCTCCTTATATCCCAGGAAAAGCTAGGAAGTGGGGCAAACCTCCCTGTCTATATCCCTTGGGGACCCCTTGTCAGTGGCTTGCAGCCTGCTTCTCCTGGAGCCCTCCACTTCTGCCCCAGCATCTCCTACCCTACTCTTGCCCCATGCCCACCCTCACTGGTCACTTACTTGCAGGAGAGCTGGTTGATGCCTTCGATGTAGTAGCAGACACCTCCATTGACACAATAGGACTTGGCTGTCTCGTTGCACTTCCGGGCATGCCCCGACCAGGATGACAGAGTGGTGCTCACTGGGGGTAGGAGAGACACATGCCAGTGACCCACTGAGACCACCTCCAGGTCCCAAGAATCACCTCCTTCATGGTCCTTCATGTCCCATCTCAAAACTGGAAGATCACCAGAGACTGCAGGAGTGACTATGGAGGAACGGTCTAGAGGTCCCTCCCCGTTGCCAACAAGGCAAGCAAGAGGCCATCATGAGCTCGGCCTATCTGCCCAGTGGGATCCTGCACCCAAGCTCTGGGAAAACTTCCAAAGGCCAGGAGGATACTTAGGGGGGAGGGATGAGAAGATAGCAGAAACTGCTTCCTCTGCTGAAATAAGGGCCCACCTCTCCCCTTCTCTGCCTATCCTTTTGGGGGGCTCCCTGTAAAAGGATGAGATGCTGACATCTAATGTGGGGAACAATGAGTTGGTGCTGGGAGGAGACACCTACACACATCTGCCCTGCTCAGCATCTCACGGTGAGCCAGGCAGTGGCTGGAAGGAGCTGGTTCTGTGGGAAATGGCACCTTTTGTACACTGTTATTTTTTAGCATCTGGAGATATGATGAGCATGGGGGATACCCCCCTTTCTCCTGGGGATGGGCTGGCTCCAAGCCTCCCAGGAATGCTACTAAGGCCACGATGCCCTGTCATAAGCATCCAGAGTCTCCTCCATGCTTCCCCATCCCAGGCAGCACCCTTCTCCCCCACCGAGTCTGCTGTTGCCCCTGGAGAGAGCCTCCTGGCTGTGGACAGCCCAGGCTATAAATCATGGGCTTCAGGTTATTTGGGAGGAGAGAGGGCTGGTGGCACCTGGGATGTGGAACCTGGGAGAACAGGACTGGGCCTTGAGGCTGAGAGCCCAGGCTGCGCATCTGATGGGTCAGATGCGTTTGAGAAATGAACATAACTAAAGCTCCGTTCCCCATCAGGGGATGGCACTGAGAAAGCTGGTTTCAAGTGAACATTCTTGCCCCGATGTCAGTTTTCATCCGTAAGACAACACTCTGGGCTGTATCCAGACCGGGCAGCCAGAAATGTGTTCCTGCTCCCCTTCAGCTCTCTGGGGGCTCTGAGGGCCTCTTGCTCCCACCCAGCCCAGCAGTGGCCTCCTGACCGAGGTGGCCCATTCTACCTCAGCTAGCCTTGTTTCCTCAAGGGTATTGAGTCTCCATCACTCCCCTCAGCAATGGGGGGGGCGTGAGAGGAGGAGGAGAGGGCAGGCACTTGGCGCCCTCAGTGTTTAGACATGTGGGGAGACAGATGGAGCGTGGGGGACTGGGAGTGTATACATAGCTCTGCCTCTGTATATGTCTGTGGAACGCACTGATAAAACCCAGCGGGCAGGGCCAGCTCTGCCTTCCCATCCACATCATGCCTGCTGCTGAGCTGGCATCCTGGAGCCCTGCCCCTGCCAAGGTCTCCCTCCTAGCTCAACCCCAGACCCAGCTGAAGCCCATGTGCTGGCTGGCTGGCGGAGGAGGTCTCCCACTGATGTCTGCCCCACTTCTGGGTCAGTGAGACCCAGGGTGCTGAGAAACGGACAGAGAAGAGAAAAGGCTGAGGTGACCACGCCTGGGACTTGTAAATCTCGAGGACCCTAGCGGTTGTCCTGCCCTTCATTTACATTTCAAAGGAGGAGGAAAGAGAAGGTGGCAAAGGGCCCATCTGTCCAGAGTCACAACATGTGTTGCAACAGAGCCCGGGGCTTCTGACATCCGTTGTGTATTCTTGCCAGCTGTCTAGTGCCTCATGGAAGAACACCTCAGTGCCAGGAATGATATAAGTAGACAAATGCAAGCAAAGTGAGGGACACAGGCTCGGGTCCCCCTGTGGGCTATGGCTCAGCCAGAGGAATCTCGGCCCAGACTTGGTGCCTGCTGCAGTCATGAGTAGTGGAGACTCCCCATTGTTGTGGTCTCATTGTCTCCCCCCAGCTGAGTGAGCAGTGGACAGCAGGGGGAATGCTGGGGTGGCAGGGACCATAGCTGCACTCTTGGGCTCGTCACACACATATGTCTGTGCTCATCGAGGTCTTGTGAGGCCAAGGGCAACTCCTGAAGAAACATGGGGCCTCCCTAGGCAGGTGCACTGAGCCCGGGCCGCCAGCACCATCAACATGGGGATTAGGCTGGAGCCCCAGAAGGCAAAAAGGGAGGACAGTGAGGTGATTAGCCACAGAGAGTGTGAGGAGAATAGTGACCACAGACCTTCTCACCTTAGAAAGGCCACTCCTCTTGTAATGGCAGAGCTTTCCCAAGTCACTACAGCCCAGCTCTGCATAGGAAAGAGGTGCTCTCACGCTGCTGTGTAGCTACACTGTTCTAGTACACATGGGTTCCAAGGCAAGACATCTACGCTATCTTGTCAGTGTATCTGTATTTCCTCACTGTGTTCTCCTGTGCTTGTAGAGGTGAAGGCTACATCTGGACTCTAAGTTGGAGAGTCAGGCTGCTCCTTTGACTCCTCTACTTGGATGGCTCACAGCACAAACTCATCATGTCCAAAACCGGGCTCCCAGGCATTTACCCAACCACCTTCTTCCCCATTCTCCCTATCGTAGTCACCAAATGGCACAAACCAAAGACCTAGAAGGCATCTTTGATTCCCCACAGCCATCTGTCACCAAGGGTGCCATTTCTACTTCCTTAGGAGATTCCAACCATGTCTCCCTACTTCCTTCCCTAGTCCACGCCACAGCTGTCTCTTTCTTGGATGACTACAATGAGCCCCGCACTGGTTGCCTGTACTCTTGCCTTTGTCTCTAGCTTTTTAACTTCACAACAGCCACAGTGGTCTTTAAAATGTGTAAACTGCATCAATCATTTCTATTATCGAAGCTCTCCATTTGCACTCAGAAAAAAGCCCCCTGTCTTCTCTGCAGCTCTAATTGGGGTCTTACCACATCTCCTCCGTCATCTCCCATCCCTCTCTTCAGTATGTTCAGACTACACTGGTCTTAGCCCTGCTCCTCTCACAAGCCAGGTACTCTCCCGTCCAGCTCTCCCAAAATAGCAGGGTCTCTGGACTTCTCAAGCTGGTCAGACTCTTCCCTTATTCCTTTTCTTAGCTTCACATACTTCTTCTTGTGGCACTTTTTCTAAAGTACTCATGCAACATGTGCTATTGTTAGCTGTCTAAGGCCTAGTCCCTTCTCTAGAATGTAAGCTCCAGTAGGGTAGGGAGCCGTCTGCCATGTTTACCACTGAACCCCAATGTGAAGCACCGTATCTGGCACACAATAGATCCTTAGCAAATATTTACTGAATGAATGAGCAAATAAATATCTCATTCTTTGGAGAAAAGTGCCTTCTGCTACCTCCACAGGGGCTAGTCTGGTATCCTTGACTGAAGATATGTAGATTAAAACATTCTTTCTTATTAAATGCAAATACTCCTGAAAGATTACCAGGGAAAAAACCTAATGACCGTTCAGGTCACAGTCACTAGGATGGTCAGAATAAAGGAGATAATAACAAGTGGTGGTGAGGATGTGGAGACATTGGTACCCTCAAGCATTGCTGTTGGGGATGTGAAATAGTGTAGCTGCTTCGGAAAACAGGAGTTCCTAAAAAAAAATTAAACACAGAATTATCATGTGCCCCAGAAATTCCACTCATAGGTCTATCCCTAAGAGATTGAAAACCTACATTTATACAAAAAATTGTACACGAGTGTCCATAACAGCATTATGCATAACAGCCAAGATGTAGAAAAAATCCAAATGACCCAACAATCCAAACTGATGAATGCATAAATAAAATGTGCTCTATTCATACAGTGGAATGTTATTCAGCATAAAAAGGAATGAAGAACTGACACATGCCATAACACGGATGAATCTGAAAACATTATGTAAGTAGAAGCCAGACACAAAAGGCCACATATTATTTGCTTCTATTTATATGAAATGTTCAGAATAAGTAAATCCATAGAGACAGAAAGTAGATGAGTGGTTGCCAGGGGCTGGAGGGAGGGAGGAACGGGAAATGACTGCTAATGGGTGCGGGGTTTCTTCTTGGGGTGATAAAATGCCCTGAAGTTAGTGGCAATGGTTATACAACTTAGTGAATATCCTAAAAACCATATACTTTAAAAGGGCAAATTTCATGGTATGTGAATTATATCTCAAAAAATTAATATAAAAAATGCCTGGGAGGAGTAAAGCCAAGAAGCCTTCATCAGCCATTAGCGTCTTGGTGTGTGTTGATCGTGAGCGCGGACCTGGTTGGGAGCTGGCATGTGCAGGGTGTTTCCCTCTGCGGCTACTGCGACTGCTTTCTGCCCTTGCTCATGAAACCGGGCTCAGATCAAGTGGCTCTTCATCCATCAAGACTCCCTTCCCCACTTTGTGGTAGTCCCCTTCCCCTTAGGCAAAGTGGCCTATCCTTCCTCTCAGTCTGTTAGAAAAGGCAGACACTGTTGAGTTCAGATTTCAGCTTCCCGCCATTTGGGAGACTGTTGGGGGTCAAGACTGTGACGACCCAGAGCTCAGAGCAAGGTCTTGCTGAATAAGCACTTGCTGAATGCATGATAGAGAGTGCATATGTGTGCATGTGTATGTTGTAAACCTCTAGCCTTTTAAAGTCCCAGGTAAGAGACAGGCCCACAGGTCTCTCCAGGGCTTCCATGGGCCTGTGACACCCCTCTGGAGCAAAGCCTGACATCCTGGAATTGGCACAGCTACCTTGGGTCATTCCCAGGTTCCCTTTCACCTGGGAGGAGGTAGCTGGTTTCTCTAACTCAGAAGTGGGCTGGACCAAGGTGTCTGCTGTGTTATAAACACCAGAAACTTTCTGCTGATTCCTCTTCCACCTCCTGCTCTCAGCCAGCTCAGGGGGGCAGGAAGCCTCTTGTGAACTAGCAGAGCTGTGACTGCAAGGACGTCTGCCCCGATTTGTGGAAGGAGAACTGGGCTCCACCTGGACAAAGCTGTAGCCGTCTAAAAGTCATAGGGATGCCTTTGAGCAACCGGCCTTTCCTTGATGGCCCTCCCATGCCCTCTTCTGGCTGTACCATCCTATAGCCCTGGCTTCCCTGGGGCCCAGGCAGGCCAACCCAACCCACCTCAGGATGAGTCAGAGGGGGCAGACACTGCTACCTGCCTTCCACCTCCTCCCCAGGGTGTGGTTGCTGCAGGTCTCCTGGATTCTGTGGGTAAACAAGGAGCTTGGGCATCTCTGCCTGGGAAAACATCCCTGGCATGGGCCTCCTGGTACCCTGTGGTGGCCCTGTTCAGCTCCCCACATCAAGGTTAGGCTCTTGCCTGCCATAGCCTGCACAGGGCAGCAGAAGAGGTGAGTAGCACGTATCGTTGTGTTGGTCATCCTCAACATCAAACTCAGAATACCAGAATTTAAGGTGAAGAAGCTTACAGATCACCTAGCACAGTCCCACAGTGAGAAAACTAAAGACCAGGGAAGTGGAATAACTTGCTGGCCGCAGGACATAGAGCTGGGATGAGACCATATCTCTGAGCTCTTTCCACTGCTCTGCCCTGCCACTCTCCTGCCAGGCTCGAGGGACAAGAGGCAAGAACACTGTAGGAGGCTGGGATTCCAGATATGCCCTCCATGCCCAGCCCAATGCTCCACCGTTTGGTTCCCAGACTGATCAGAGCATGGCCTGCTGAGGGCTGACAGAAGCCCGTGTGTGGGGCGGGACTGTGGCTTCACCACCTTTTCCAGGCCCATGCCTTGTGCAGGAGAGAGAGAACTCCTGAGGTTTTCTGCGTGGCAGCCTCTCCCTCTTTCTCTGCTGACAGCACCCTCTAGGGAAGTGGTTTTCTGTAGCATTCTGGCAAGGCCATGACTCACAGTACTCTGCCTCTCAGTAGCCCCTTTGCACATACACTGAAAGACCTGACAGAGATGGTACCCCACCCTCCTGAGCATAGTGGGCAGGCCAAGTAGGGCACAGGGCCTAAGCAGGGTCAATCGGAAACCCCCGTGATTGCATGCATGCACTCAGAGACAAAGCTACCTCTTTTCTCTGTCTAGCAGGCTGGGATGACGTAGACCTGGCGCTCCCTAAGTGCCAAGGCCTCTTCTTCCTACTCTATTTTCCAAACATGGGAGCAGCCCAGTTTACAGTAGTAAATAATGAGGCCAAAACACAGTTGGAGGAAGTGTCTTGACCTAGCCTCTGAGTTCTTGGAGCCCTCCTCTGAGTTCTTGAACTCTGTCATGTCTAGGGCCAGTTTACCTCTGTACTTTCCAGTTTTAGAAGCCAATAAAGAAATTCCCTAAGATAGGTTTAAATCAGTTCTAAACAAGAAAATCTTGGCTGATAAAACAGAAAGCCCCAAGTCCAAAGTGAATCTGAGAATGTCTGCCCACTCTGGCAGAGGTGGCAGGAGCTAGACCCCAGGACAGCCCACTTTCCCAAGCCTGGGGCAGGTTGAGAGAAGTGGGGGCTCAGCTTCCTCCACCGCTCCCATGCCCAGGTTAGGCCACATAGGAGGCTATAAAGTTCTTTTGTATAATAGTTATTAGGTATCCACTGTGAGCCGGGTACTATGCTAGGCTGAGGCTAGAGTGGTAAGCAGGCTAGACACAGCCCCATGGAGCTCGAAGGCTAATGACTTTTACATTGTACAGCTCTTTCACTAACTAGCTGCTCGACTTTGGGCAAGATATTTAACTTCTCTGAGCTTCTCATACTTCATAAAATATATTCTGAACTTGAGGCAGGATTCATGAGGTAATGTGGAGCCTGGTTTAATAAATGGTGGCTACTTTTGTAACTCCCAGGAGAAGACAAACTTCCTGTCCTCCCTACCTCCAAGGCTCACTATTCCATACCCATAGAGAAAGTTCAGCAACAGTATGAGAGTTGAAGATTGACCTAAGGGTGGAATTCAAGGGATGCCACCAGACGGTAGTTGGCTAACAACTGGCCCAGGAGTGGGGCCCTAGCTGGGAGTGGCCCAGGAGTAGAGCCCCAGCTGCAGTGAGGTGGGATGGTCAGGAGAAAGGCTGCCTGGAGGCGAGGTCATGGGAGGATGGGTAAGAATGGGATGGAGAGGGGATGGACTGCAGTCAGGTTGGAAAGATTGTTTGGGCCAGATTGGTGAGATTCGTCCAACAGTACCTTGTTCTGTGTTTCTATGGGGTGGGGGACCTGACAGGATAAAAGTGCCTTAAGAGGCCATTGCTCTGGTTCAGGAGAGTAGGAACAAAACCTGAGCCAGGTTACCTTAAGGTGTAGTTGAAGCAGAAGGGACAGATATGAGAAAGATCCAGAAAGAAGACACACCAGGCCATGGAGACTCAGACTTATTAGTCACAGGGAGACTAAGGAGCCCAAGACACTAGGAGGACAGGGGTATCCCTCCCTAACATAGGCAGAGAGAGCTTGAGCTAGGTTTTCATCTGAGGGGCACGGGGTAGGGAGTGTTACACATTCTCTTTTAGACTATCCTGGGCCTAGGGAGTTCTGGAAGGCTATGTGGTGGAAATGCAGGCAGGAGATGACACACACAGGATTAGATTCCCTGACAGGGGCAGGACTGGAAGTGAACCCCAAATGGAACACTCAGCCTGGGAGGATTTGAAGTACTCGGGTTAGAGTGGAGAAGGCACTACCAGAGGACAAGCAGCACTGGCAGAGAGGACAGGAGACTTCCCAGTCAAAGGAAAGAACCAGGGCCTGAGAGGACAGCCCAGCAGGAAGGTGGCCTCTGCTCGGAAGCTGTATCTGCCACTGTTGAAACGAACAGCTAAGAGGTGCCGTGAGGTCCTGACCTTGCAAGTCTTCAAGGAGAGAGGCTGACCGTTGGGGAAGGGATCTGCCCTCCCCGAACAAAGGCTGTTCCCAGGGGCTCCATGCACTCAAGTTGCCCACCCATGGCCAGTGGAGATGGCCACCTGTGCTCAGGTGCCCAGCAAAGCAGAGGCAACAGGCAGTCAGCGTGCACACGCCACGGGCCTGCCTCTCCCCAAGCCCTGCTCCTGGCAGCCCTGCCTCCTATAATTGCCTTCTAAAAATATCCTTCCCCCCCGCCCCCACTTCTTGATTTCAAAATATTTAGTTTTCAGGGTATTTAAAATGAGAGCTGGCGGCTCTTCCAGGTCCAGATAACAAAGCTAAACATTTATGCTTCGACTGCATTTCTCTGAATCGGCCGAGATCTTGGGCTTGATATGGCAGCAGCGGGAGGGAGGGGAGTTGAGAGCAAGATGGATCATGTGCGGGCCCGAGGGCTGGGGGCAGCTGGCCCACCCTGCCATGGCCCTTGAAGACCCTTCCCTTCACTGGGAGCCCACCTACCGCTGTTGACGTAAAGCCGGCCCCGGACAGTGTCCTTCCCCAGGATGTTCTCGGCCTCGCAGACGTACTCCCCAGCGTCCTCCACCTTCACCTTGTTGAACTGTAGTCGTGAGTTCTTTCTGGTTAGGGAGGGGATAAGAGGGGGAGAGGCGTGAGCCAAGGCTGTCTGTGGCTCCCCAGCAGTCACCCAGTGGTCACCTCTCCCCACAGAGCTGCAGTGGCTGTACAGGTTATGTGGCAAGTAGACTCCCTCAGCCCAGCCATTTCTGGGGTCTAGAGGGAACACTCAGCCCTGCAGCTGCAGGGAGACCCAGGCCCTCAGGACAACAAAGAGTGGGACTAGTGGCTACTCACATGTTCTAAATCTACGGTTCCTCACATCTTCTTTTCTAAGGCTGTACCTTCTTTGTAACGTTTTTCTAGAGGAGAAGGCCAGGCCCCTTGGAAGACACATAGCTACCTCCCCCATTTCCAGCGGCCTCAGCCTTCCCTCAGAAGTGGCAGCCTGTCATTCTGGGTATGCCAGGACTGCTCCCAAGTACCTGGGAGAGCTGCTGTGCTGACAGGTTCCCATGGCAACTGTGCTCAAACTCCTAGTTCAAACCCATGGCATTCCCCTGCTTTCAAATCAGCCCTGCCACTATGGGGCACCCTGTGGTCTCTCCAGGGGGCTTTTTTAATTCATTCATTCATTCAGCAAATGTTTGCTGAGCACCTTTACTGTGTGCCAGGAGGTTGTATACCCTAGGGAACAAAAAGATCCTGGACTTGGTTAACCTGGGTGTTCTCTTCTTACTGGTGAGAAGACTAAGCACTAGAGGGGCTTCCTGATTTGCCCAAGGGCACCCAGCAGGGCAAAAGCAGAGGCAGACCAGGAGCCGCCCCAGGTAAGGACATAGACTATCTCTGGGAACCTGAAGTGGGGCTTGTGGCCTTGAAGCTTTGCACCCAGTCCCTGCATGCTGAGAGTTGTAGGGCCAGGTCTGGGCAGGACCCCCAGGTATTGTGACCTCAGGGCACCTGGCCCTCATTCCCCTTTTCCTTCTGAAGTCCCAGCCAAACCTCTCCTTCCTCCTCAGAGTTTCCTCGCACCTACCTCAGGGTGCTTAGGTCCTGCAAAGGTTTGCTCATAGCTCCCACCCCACTCTGTGCCCCCCCAGTGCTCTCCTGGGGCAGCATGAGTTCTGGATAAAGCCCAGAACCCCTGAGGGAAGCAAGAAGTAACATGAACATTTCTTTACATGATGTAATCTCTTCCTCTTTTTAGTGCTGAATGAAAAAACCAGATTCCCAGACTACGTGTGGTGGGTTGGAGGGGTAGGGGAATATGAGGGAGGGCAGCATAGCTGCCATTGCCCTGAGCCTCAGGGATGTGAAGCTGAGCCATGAAGTTGTCAGGGTGAGGAGGACAAGGGGAGGTGAGCAGAAAGGCTGGTCCAGGGGTTGAGGAGATGCAAACTGACCCACAATCCCCACCTGGTCTCTGTCTTTGCTGATGAGGGTAAACCTCTTTCCCAACATTCTCACTCCAAGATTTCCCAAATAAGGGTGATAGAAGGTTGTCTTGTCAATAGACTCGACTGCTGTGACAATATCCTTGCTGATGTTGTGGTAATAGCTGCTTGACCATACCATACCCTTCCTGGCCTAAGCTAGTCTCCGTCTCCTTGGCCTGGTGCCTGCCCACAACCTTCTTCTGTCAATTAAAGTTTGTTCCTTCGTTAAACAGAGCCCTGGAGGCCCCTCTGTCTCCTTCCCTGCCCTGGCCTAATTAGATGCCACAAAACTCAGCTTTTACAGGACAAGTCTTCTCTCACTTCCCTGTGCACAGGAGGAGCAGGGCAGGAGGGTCACCTGAGGGCCATGGGGTCAATGTATAGGGGACTCAGAGCCAGACATTCTTATCACCCCCAGCTAAATTCAAAGGAGCCTCTCTTACATAACATCGTATATGGCAGGATAAGGAGGAGCCAGGCTCACTGTCAACTCAAAGGGATACGAGCTGGCTCTCCACATGCAAGTGGAGGAAGGGCTTTCCACATGCAAGTGTGTGAGACCTGTGGAGGGGAGGCTTTGGGGAGAACCCTTCCTGGGGAGGAAGAAGAGAGAGGCCAGGGGACAGGAGCAACAGCCGAGGCTTGCTGGCTGCAGGTGTCTTGAGTCACCAGTTATTTGATGGTATCTGGCAAGCAGGCCCCAGAGAGGCACGAGCCCCTGGGTTAGAGCTGTGGGAGTGGGTGGAGGGGGTCTATGGGCTCTTGGGCCCTGAAGTAGCTGGACTCGCCACATTCTAGGGATGCGGAACTCTCCCACCTTCCTGGCAGGCTAGATGCTGTGCTCAGTATGGTGCCCCCGTCATGCACTGACCCAGGTCTGCCCTGCAATGGTCACCCCTCCCCTCCCTCCCCAGACAGCTCTCTGCACTGGCAGGGACAGGATCTGGGCGGCTGTGTCCTCCACATTTTCCTTAGTGCCTACCTCCCCTGCTTGCTCAAGGGGCCTGTTCCAGCCTGCCCTTCATAAATAAGGGAACATGTGGTTCTGCTGGGGAGGGCCCTGTGCCCAGGGCTTGAGGGGGACAGTTTTCTCCCGGCACAGGAAGGCTTGGTTGAGATGTCTCTGTGTGCAAGCATGGAGACTGACAGCACCCATTGAGGAGGGGAATCTCTGCAGGCCAACAGAGACACCCGGAAACAGTGTGGCCTGGGTGGGACCTAGCTGCTGTGTGGGTATGGAGGACAGAGAAGACACTGCCAGAAAGGAAACTCCTGCTCTTGCCCCTGTGCCTGGTGAGGTGTGGATAATGGGAGGGTGGGCAGTATGTGGATGTGGCGTCCTCTCTGAGTCACTCTGAGGGCACCTGGGTCTCATAGGAAGTCAGAAGTTTCCCATCATGGCTCGCCCAGAGGCAGGACAGGTGGAACAAGGGTTTCAGGATGCAGTAAGCAGGGCAGGGCCCTGAAAGGTAGGGGCAAGGAGTACACTTCAGACTCTCAGGGATTCAAAATACCCAGGAGGAGAAGACCTGACCAGGCCGTTTCTGGACTGGGTAATCCATTTGCCAGGTAAAACTGAGGCTTAATTAGGACAGTGACTTGTTTAGGTGACTAGGAAAATTCAAAGTACCTCCTGTCCAGTACCATGGGACCCTGCAGGAGGGCAGGGCTAGTCCTGCAAGATTCTTAATTTGGCACCGAATGTAGAGCCATCTTCCAGGCCTTATAGCAGAGAAGGGGGTGCAGAGTTGTGGGGACCCAGCCTTTGAGGCTGTCTCATGCTAGAAGGAGAGATAGATCCCTGTACAACACAAGGAAGCCATATCTAAGGCACCATAGGAGGAGACAATGAGAGCCCCGGAGGGGAAGGTGTCTCAGAGAAACAACATAAAAGCTGGGCCTTGGAGACCTTTGCCAGGGACAATAGGGGAGTGGAGCTGCCAGGCAAGGAATAGCCTAGGCCCAAGTCCAGGGCCATGAAAGGAAGGACCAGAGGTCAGGAGTGCAGAGGTGTAGGGGAACAGCTGGGCACTGACTTGTAGGCCAGGAAGAGGAGTCGGAAGAGCCCCAAGGCTGTACCTGGCGTACAGTCAGCTCTCAAGATCTGTCAAGTCATGCATGGGCGATTGGATATGTGTTCATGTTAGAAAGATCACCCTCATCAGGCAGCCACAGGGGTCAGTGACTCCATGGACTTCTAGAATCACAAGCAAACTTGGTACATAAGTCACATTTTTTTTCTGAAGAAAGAGCTGAGGCTTCCACCAGATTTTATACTAGAAGCTAGACTAGAGACTCCTGAAGGTAGGGACCATGTCTGTTTTGTTCACTGGTGTGTGCTAAACCTCTTGCAGAGTGCCTGGTACACAGCTGATATTCAGTACAGATATGCTAGAGATACAGAAACAAATTTGCAAAGGGACCCAAAGTCCAGAAAAAGTGGGGACGGGGCAAGAGTGGGACAGAGGAGGAAGAGAAGCTGAAAGCAGGTAGACCAGATAAGAAATGTGCAGAGCAGGGAAAAGAGTACCTCCTTCTAGAGACTTGTTTCCACCTGGAGGGATGGAAAGGACATAGGTGTCAAACAGCAGGGAGTCTGGTTGTGCCACAGGGGAATGGGGAACACAGGAGGGGGCGGAAGGGCTAGAGAGGGCAGAGAGGGATCAGCTGGGTCACTTTGAATCAGAAATGTCTATGGGGTATCTCAGGGGCGATATCTAGAGTTTCCCTAGCAACATGGGGTTGAACTTGGCAAAAAAGCCACTTCCTCCTGGAGATGGAGGCTTGGAGTCTCAGATACCTAAAGCAATGGGAGAGGGTGAAATTACCCACGGGGGTGAGGGAAGAAGGAAAGGTGAGGTCCAAAGCTCAGGAGATTCCAGCATTGATGGCAACTAAGAGAAAGTGGCCAGACTCACAGGAGAACCAGGAGGAGCACCAACAGGGCTAGGGGAGCTGGTGGTCCCATGCCAAGGCTGCTGGGAGGCATGGAACCAGGGAGCTCAGAGGTCCCTGGGGCTTCTCAAGGGCTGCAGCCATGGAGAGCTGGGGGTGCATTGAAAAGACAGATTCCAGCGGGACAGAGCGAGTGGAGGGTGAGGGTGTGGAGTCAGTGGGCAAGAAGCTGAGTGCCTCTGCAACTTGCACGGCGGTAGAGGGAAGAAGAGAGATGGGCCAGCAGCTTGAGGAGGACGGGGTGACAGCAGCGTGTAGGGAGAGCATTTCAGAAGAAAAACCATGGGCGTGGGTTTGTTGGTAGGGAGAGAAAGCTAGAGTTACCCGAGAAAGGAGTGAGTTGGTGGCACTCCGAGGGTGTGTGTGTGTTTGTGTGTGAGCAGGAGTGTGCGGGAGGGTGGGGGTGGGGAGGAGATGGGCAGGTTGTGAATGTGTTTGGCAGGGGGAGCACTCTCTCCTGACTTCTGTTATCTCAGTGAAGTAGGGGAGAGGCCATCTTCTAGAAAGAGAAGACAGGAGGGAGACGGGCCCCAATGGCTTCAGTTTCAAGAAGCCTGTTTGTTCTCTCCAGCTTGGAGTCTGTCTTGGCAGAGTATTGGGAAGGGGTGGCATGGCATCAGAAGGTGAGCCAGGTGGGCACCCTGAATTTCTTGTGGATGCTATAGACTGGCGACACACAGGAACACCCCCTACCCCCTGGGGTCCTCTTGCCACCGCAGTTTCCTTAGGAAACAGCACCTTTCAGCCACAAGTCTTGGATCTAAACCAAATCCTTTCTTACTTACTTTCAGTTTTCCACCTGGACCACTTTCTGGGGTAACCAGTTCTGTCTGTGCTCCCCACTCTTGGAAGGAGAGTCAGGGAGCTGGACGTAGCTCCCAGTCCCCTGACTCCAACAGCCTCCTTCACAGGTCCCAGAGACAAGGCTCAGAGGCAGGCCGTGTACAACCAGGGCCACACAGCAAACCAGGAGCAGTCCAGCCCAGCCCAGCCCTCTTTCTGTCCCTTTCTGTTGTGGGTAGGCTGGGTGTTCTCTAATATCATCCACGTTTACAGTCTGTGAGGGATGAGGAGGAAAATGACAGGAAGGAAGGGAATGGTCGGAAGCCACTCTGGAGCAGGCAGAAAAGACTGAGGGCTCCTCAGCCAGAGAAGAAAGTCCGCCTGGTCCCCAGAGCCAACCGTAGAGATCAGACAGAACATCTGTTTAGCTGGCAGGCAGGAGCTTTTCCCCTTGCTTGTCCTTGAGAGGCAGGAGAAGAGTGGTGGGCTGCCCTTGGACTCTTGGCTTCTCTGGTGCCTGAAACCTCCTGGGTGACCAACCAAGATGGAAGAGAGGCCATTTCCCACAGCCTGGAGACTCAGGGAGCTTCTGGCTCACTTCCCCGGAGCATTGGTTCAAATAAAGACAATTCTCATGTCATGAGGGAAACTGCCTGAGGTACAGATTGCCCCAACACCAATCAAGTATTGCTCTTTTTCCCCTTTCTTAGCTCTCTGACAGGTGACAGCTCACTAAGCTGAGAAGCCAGCCCACCATGTGTGACCTCCTAGAGGCATCTTGATGTCAGGGTATTTTACCACAGATTGCCAAATGATACCAGAGTAAGTCTTTTGAGAAGTTTTAGGGACAAGCTGGCACCTCCCTCAGTAAAACTGACCTTGACAATCAAATTGCTTTCAACTATTCAGAGATGTTCACTGCTTAATTCTTGTCCAAAGGCCCTGGGCCCATGTAACCAGAGGGGCGCAGAGCTGCAGGGAGAAGGCTGGGATGGCAAGTAGGGGAGTGTGGAGAGGGGCTAGGACTGGTTCCATGAACTCTGTCCAGCTCCGGATCCTCCTTCTCAGAAGGAAGGGCAAACTGGCTGGATGGAGGGCAGGCCAGACGCTGCTCACCTGCCGTTGCCATACTTGATGCGAATGTCCCGACTGCGGTTGAGCTCCTTGCCATCCTTGAACCAACGATAGGAGGGCTGGGGGTTACCGGCTGCGGCCTCGCACTTCAGCGATTGCTTCTCACCCACCTGTCCCGTCTGGCTCTTCATCTTCTTCAGCTTGGGCCGGGTGGCTGTGGAGTACAAGGATGTAGGTAAGCGTGGTGGTGGTGGGGGCAGTGCCAAGTCTGAGTCGTGGAGGGTAAGGACCACTGTCCTTGGGCTGGAATTGGGGAAGGAAGGGGTAAGCCTGGGAGCCATCCTGCCTAGTGTCATTTCCTAGTGTAATTCAACAAGCATTTACAGAGTCTGTGATGACATCAATGTAGCTATTGCTTATGGAGTATTTCTTACATACCTGGAATGGTACTAGGAGTTTTACATTAGCCAATGAAACCTTCACAATAACCCCATGAGTTCACAGTGGTGAATAAACCCATTTATGGATGGGGAAACTGAGACTCAGATGGTTAAGCCACTTTCCTAAGATAAGGTGATGGAACTGGGATTCAAGCCTAGATCTCCTTGGCTTCAGTGTTCTTGATCAAATGTCAAGAGGAACCATGCATGGGGCTATACTGGTGGGCACAGGCCCACTCATGGAGGCAAAGCTGCAAATGCCAAGCTGAGAGGCTTTCCCCCATTTTTCTTAAACACCATTCTGTTTCCATATGCCCCAGCATCCCATACTTTACCTCCTTATTCCTTTCCTCAACTCCAAAAAAAAAAAAAGAAAGAAAGAAAGAAAGAAAAGAAAAAGTGTTCTGTTCTCAGGAAGGGCAAGCCAGTGCTCTCTGCTGGAGTGCATAATAATTTCCATTGGTATAGCCCTTTACAGGACATACAATCTCTTCATGCATGCTCTCATTTGGACCCTGAGTCCTGTGAGGCAAGTGTCATACTGACATTGATGGTGAAGATGAGACCCTGAGAGGTTAAGAAACTTGACCAAAGCCATATAGCAAGGCAGCCACGGAGCTGGGACCAAAGCCCAGGTGTCAGGATCTGCAATGTGTCAGGCTGGTAGTAGGCTGGGGTCTGTTTTTGAAGCCTCATCTCTCCTGAGAGATGGCTAAAATCCTTCCAGTAGCAGAAGGAAGGGTCTGCTGGAGCCAGGGAGTTGTCTGGGGACTGACAGGCCCTGTCTAGGTCATTGGTCCTTTCCTTGGCAGCTCAAAGCTCTCGTGATGGGCCAGAGCCAGCTCTGCAGAAAGGCAGATAAGAGGGCCTGGCTTGCAGTTACTTATTAGTACAGTGGAGTGCAGGGCACAGGAAGAAAGGATTACACAGGTTTACACAGATTCTTGTGAAATAATTTTGTTCATTTTTGAAAATTAAGAAATACAGGCAGGTAAAAAAAAAAAAAAGAAGAAAGCAAAACCATCCCTTATCCCAGTACTCATCAACACACACACACACACACACACACACACACACACACACACACACACGCGCACACATGCGCGCGCGCACACACACACACACACACACACACACACACACACACACACATTCTCCATTTTTTAAACATGGGATCAGTGCCAGTAACATGTTTCTTCCATTTAATGAAACAATGTAACCCTTTCACCTGGGTGTTAAATATTAATACTAGTATTTCCCAAACTGAATTCTATAAGACAAGTGTGTCTGGAGAGATGAAAACAGATATTACTTGAGAAGAGGCTTCCATGAACAAACCGGTTTGGAGAACATGTGGGTAAATACAGTAAGTAAGGGCCTTGAAACTTTTTTTTCTTGGAATTCTTAGTGGCACTTTAAGGACATAATGTGGAACAGGTTTTATAATATAACTTATATGTGTATATACTTAAATATTTTCATAGAAAATGTGGGCACATGATTCAAAATTCAAGAAGTGAAAACGGGTATATGGTTTAAAAACCAGCCTCCCTCTAACTTCTGACCATAGCAACACAGTTATCTTTCTAGAAGGCAAGCAATTTTATCAGTTCCTTTGACATTCTTTCAGAGATATTTCATGCATATACAAAAAAAACCCTGGTATTCATGCATACATTTTTGTCCTACAGCATCATTTTTCATGGTTACATAATATTTCTGCCTATCATAATTTATGTAATTGATTCCTGTTGTGGGGCATTTAGCATGGCCTGCCCCCATTACAAACAACAGGAGTCAGCAATCAAATGTCAGGAGTAACCATGCATGGGACCGTATTGGTGGGCACAGGCCCACTCAAGGAGGCAAAGCTGCAAGTGCCAAGCTGGAACATCCTTGCACATATCCAGTGTATATTACTGTATGGGCAGGATGGCTCTAGGCTCAGACTGCCTTGTTCAAATCCAGGCTTTGCTACCTGTTAGCTTTGTGTCCTCGGGTCATTAACTTAATTCTTTTGTGCTTCAGTTTCCTCAGCTGTAAAACACATTGATAAATAACAGCTCTTACCTCATGGGATGATGGTTGTGAGGATTATAATGAGATACGGCATGTGGAGCCTGGCACGCAGAGAGCATTTAATACAGGTTAGCTATTATTGTTATTATTATTCACAATTATTTCCTAAGGCGATCTTCCTAAAAGTGGAGTCGCTACGTCACAGAGAGTGCAATCTTCCTCAGCTTTGCACATTGCCAAATTGCCCTTTGGAGAGGTTGCACCAATTTGCACTCCCCCCAGTGAATGACAGTGCCTGTTTTTTCCACACCCTCACCACCACAAGGTATTATCATGTCTTTAATCTTTGCCAATTAGCTAGGCAAAAGATAACGTCTCTTTGTTGTTTTAATTTGCATTTATTTGATTACTGATGAGGCTGAACATTTTTCATAAGTGTATTGGCTCATTGTATTTCTTCTTTTTGAATTGCCTGTTCATGCCCGCAGTCTGTTTTTCTATGGAGTGCTCATCTTCTTACTGATTTGTAAGAGCTTTTTATAAATATTAAGGCTATTAACCTTTGTTACAATGGTTTTTCCCCTGGTTACCTGCTTCTCAAATCTGACTATTTTTTTTTTTTTTGAGTTGGGAGTCTCACTCTGTTGCCCAGGCTGGAGTACAGCGGCACACTCACAGCCACTATAGCGTCGACCTTCTGGGCTCAGGTAATTCTTCTGCCTCAGTCTTCAAGTAGCTGGAACTACAGGCACGTGCTACCACACCCAGCTAAGTTTTGATTTATTGTAGAGACAAGGTCTCACCAAGTTGCCTGGGCTGGTCTCGAACCCGTGGGCTCAGGCAATCCACTCGCCTCAGCCTCACAAAGTCCTGGGATTACAGGCTGAGCCACTGAGCCCAGCCAGCACCCAAAGTTTTATATGCATCAACCTATGAATCTGTGGGGCTTTCTGGAACTTCAGTATTCGAAGTGTGATTGAAGTCCTGCTTCAGTTTCCTTCCACTGTTCATCTCCTCCTTCCTTCACCTGCTCTGGAATCCCCAGTTACTCCTTACAGGCCTTAACCTTGGATGCTAATAAGAATCACATGAGAGGTTTTAAAGCTTAGGTAGATGCCTGAGACATATCCTAGGCATTCTGAAGCAGAACCTGTGAGTGTGGGTTTTAAAGGGCTCCTCAGGTGTGTTCTTAACTTTTCTTTGAAATGTAACATACAGTCAGGAAAGCGCACATATTAGAAGTGTATAGCTCAATGTCTGGCTGCAAACTGAACACATACGCACAAGTGACTTTGCTCTAAGGTTGGGTTGACACCTGGTGATCTAACCTCTTGGTCATGTAGGGATCTCCAACTAGTTTCCTCCCACTTCTTGTAAATTGAGGATACAGAGAGTTCTTCTCAGTTTCTAAAGTGTCCCCTTCCCTCACTTGGAGTGTGTTTATTTTTCTCGCAATTCTGAGACAAGGAAACCCCCTGCCCCTACCACCACAGGCCACCTCCCTCCCAACGAGCCAGGGTGGGGATGGTGGTTGTACCTGGGGGGTTGGGGGGAGAAGGAGCAGTGGTTACTCTACCATCTTATTTCCTGACGTATGCTCTGGTGCAATACTATGCATGGAGCCCGAAGCTACTGCTTATTGGTGGTGGTGATGGGCTAAGGGGATGTGATATGTAGAGACTGATCCCAACAATAGCAGGCACGGCCCCTCATCAGAGGGCCGGAGGAACTGGGGGCTCCAAAGCCATTCCTTGTCACCAATGGAAAACATGGACCACATTTCAGATCACAATGTGCCCACTCCATTTAGTGAGAACCCCATTGACTCAGCAGTCATTTCTTTTTCTTTCTTTCTTTTTTTTGAGTTGGGGTATCACTCTGTCACCCAGGCTGGTGTGCATTGATGTGATCCTGGCTCACTGCAGCCTCAAACTCCTGGACTCAAGAGATCCTTCAGCTTCAGCATCCCAAGTGGCTGGGACTATAGGTGTGTACCAGCAAGCCTGGCTAGTTTTTTGTGTTTTTAGAGATAAGGGCTTGCCATGTAGCCTAGGCTGGTCTTGAACTCCTGGGCTCACACTGTCCTCCTGCCTTGTTCTCGCAAACTGCTGGGATTACAGGTAAAGTCACCCTGCCTGGCCGGCTCTTGATAGTCCACTCACTTTAGAATAGCCCCATCTCATTTCCTTGTTTCTCATTCATTCATTCCCAATGAATTCATTCATTAATTCTTTCAATCATGCCAGGCACTGCTTGGGTATACAGTAGTAAATCAGAGAGATAACGTCCTGCTTATAGGGAGTCTTCATTTTAGTGAGGGGGATAGACAATAAGCCGATAATCAACAGGGAATATGAGGCTATAATAGGCAGTAGGATAAAGGCCCTAATGTGGGCATGATCTGGGTATGTCCATGGGGGTAAAGAGGCATACGTGGCCAGACCCTAGCCATCAGAGGCACGACTCTAATTCAGAGGCCTAGGCAGGGCCAGTGACATGGGGCTGTGGGAGCCAGGATGAGCAGTCCGGATTTGTTTTGCATGTTTGTTTGTTTTAAACTTTTTATATGCATACTAGAAAATTTTAAATTACAGATATGGGCTACATTATATTTCTATTGGACAGTACTGGTCTAAAAGATGACAAAATAAAAATAACCATACATTTAGATCATGCCACGTTCTTTACAAAGAGCTTTCTTTTATAGATCTTAGCGGTTCCTCGCAGGCATCATCTGTGAAGCTAAAAGCCACAT